TTCGAATTCGAGCGAAACGGAGGAACGAAATGGTGGAGAAGAGAAATCCTTCTCGTACGTTTACCTACACGCGTGTTCTTACGTCACGAAGAGTAACGGCAGGTTTCTAATTACGCGCACGAAAAAGTCAGCATTCGAAAAATTGGTAACGTGTATACACGTTAATTACGTATTTTGCACACGTACCTTCTCCATCTCCGCGTTTATCCTATATATTTTTTTGGCGCACAATTATCGCCCGGCAAATAATATAAGCGTTATACTCCTTTTTTTTCTTCTCCGATTAACCGGAGAACCGAACCTGTCAAAAATACGACGAAAATATCGTTCTCCTCGTTCCTTTTTCTTTTTTTCTTTTTTCCTTCGAATATTCCTTTCGCGAGTGTGAACGCGAAACCACGTTCGCTCTCATTTTCCATCCCGAAATTAAAGGTTATAACAATTCGGCAAATATTTCGTTTGTCGAGGGAATACTGGAGGAATTGGAGCCAGTTGTGATTGTAATAAATTTCTCCTTTTGCTTGTTTCGAATGTTATTAAAGACGGTTAATACGGGACGAGATAAGTGGAATATCGGGTTGAAAAGAGAAACGTTTGTTTGGGTGGTTGAGAAATTTCAGGGAAATTTAATGTCTTTTCGGTGCAATTTGCCGATAACACGATTGTAAAAGTAAAAAGATAAGGAAATACAATTACTTCGTTCAATAGCCAACCAACAATTTCAACCGACAATAAAATAATGATTCGAGCATCGAATCTTCATTTGAAACAGGTAAAGGTGAGCAAAGAGAAGCAGCATTAACTGCTTCAACAATTCATCGAACGTATCACGCTATCGTTCGAATTAACTAACGCGTTAAATGGCCGCCATATAAAAGCTTCGTTCAATAACAATTTCGATCGATTAAATTTGAAATTGTTATTACGATCACAACGTGATCGTAAAATAATAATCTATTCTCATTTCGAACATACCTAAAGCAAAGAAAAGCAACACTCGTTATCAGAGAAGAATTCATCGAATGTATCATACTGTCGTATATAACGGTTGCAAAATGCAAAAAGTTTTACAATTTTAATCCGATAAATATATAAATCATTTCCCTCTCTCAATAAATTAATTCTAACGCGATATAATAAACAAAACCAATTTGAAAACACAGCCAAAAGTGGGCAGAGAGAAGCTGTACTCGAAGAATTGATCGAATGTACCACCGTCGTATAAAATACAACGATTGTTAAACGTTAAACAATTTTAATAAATCATTTTTGTCCAATAAATTAATTCCAAAGTACAACGTGATACAATAAACGAAACAATAAAGCTATCATCCAATTCGAAAACATAGATAAAAGTAGAGCAGAGAGAAGAGAAATGGCCGTCATATAAAA